TAGTAGTAGTAGTAGTAGTAGTAGTAAAGCAGAGAACGCGGCTGATTTTGAACGGATTCAGAGTTAACACTTATAGTAATAAAAACATACAATAACAAATCTGTTCGTCTAGTACTTTTTGTAGTCAGATCCAGCGCGTAGCTGTTGCACTGAGAAGTTACCGCGAAGTTACAGCGAATTTACAGCGAATTAAGAATGTAGTATTTGAGTTAATCTGCTGTCGTCTAACGAATACAGCAGAGTTATTACACAACACAGATATATTACTCCTCTACGTATATAGTTAAACAAATATCCGTTCAAATTTAAAACTATTCCAAAAAAGAATAATTTTAATATTATAATCAGTTTAAAACGATTTTTTTAAAATGGAAAATTGGCACGAGCCTCGTGTTAAAACTTGGTTGCAGTGTACGAATAACAGCACGGACAAATATGAAACTCGCTCAGAAATTATTTCTTGCATATTTCCCTTGCTAAATAATAGGGAAATCAGTTAAGTTATTCTGAAGATAAAATATTCGGGCAGACATTACTATTGTACGTTCACTTTACACACTGCATAAAAAATATCCTGGTCTGTTGAATGGTATGATGATTACGCAATAAGAAGTGGTGTGGAAACGGCTGTGTCCTATTTTAAAATACGTAACCTACTATAAAAAGTTTTCTGTAGCGATTTACTAATGTAACGGCAAACGTCAGGCAGGATAGCTGGTATCTAGATCGGGATTCAAACCCGAGATATTCCAAATATGAGGTAAAAGTGTTAACCACTGAACCGCGACGTTAGGTAGAGAACTAAAAATTAAAGGAGTTGATTTGAACCTCGCGTTGTGGACAGTTCCCTTGTCGATTCCACAAATGTCCTTCATTAACACCCACTTAACACTGAAATTGTTTCTGACAGATAATTTGAACTAGCAACATGAAACTTTTAAGTACTTGTTTTGTTGCCGAGGCCACTCAACGTCAATTCATAACGCATGTAAGAGGAAGCCGAGACCACAACATAAAACTGTCGATGTTCAAATCAAACACAGGTGTGAAGCAGGCTTTGTATGACGCACTTCCGTTTGCTTCTACAGGAAATTCATTGTTTAATTGACGCGAGATAACAGAAATTCAATATTCTTTAAATAACTGAAGAACTGAAAGAACCAGAAATTCGAGTACATTACGGAAAAAAACTCAGATCCTGTCGTGGGCAGCTAATTACGCTTACATCAAGTAGTATACAGGGGTAATTTTTACAACGCGATATTTGTAAATTTAAATGTTTGCAATAGGAAAGCAGATTTAGAAGATCGCTTGGCGGTGCATATTTCCTTCTACAGAATTCGTATAAATCCGGTGTGCTGGTATTCCTTATGGTCAGGAAAGTCATACCCCACCGAAATAACAAGCTGCATAATCACCCATTGTCGGCTCTCCGCGACTGGTTGTTCAATATATTAGTAGCTACTCTCCACATCAGAGCCAGGACAGATCAGTCAGAGCATTAACTAGGGCACGTAATGGAGACCAGGATTCGATTCCAGTTGAGGCAAAGACCATTCTTTTCTTTCTCCTAACCCATGTGTCAATATCGACTCCTCCCCACCCAGCGTACTAGCCAACTATTAGTGGTGTCTCTACCCCATGGGGTTATAACGACTGAGTCATCACCTGAACACTTACCTCCATCTACCTAATGCCGAGATTCAGAACGCGTGGAACTGTATCTCCATTACCCAATACGTCTTCATAGCGTGGCGTTTTAACTGAACGGATTGAAAACTATAATTACCTTCTTCTACGTGTCTGGAGCCGGTCTCTTGCGATGACCAGCAACCCGCCAAATATGATTGAACATTCCGGTTTGATAGATGGGTATGTCTCTCTTCAAATAGAAATGTGGCTACAATTTTACGTCCGTGTATTACTTGTTTCGTATTAACTGATGTAGAAGCAACACACTAAGTTTTGTATAATAGGCAAAGCGTGTTAATAATTAACTGGATTAAATTTTGTTCCTTTTTTAAAGTTCCACTGTGTAATTTACCTCAGGGCAAAGAAATAAAAAGCTAATGTACTGCCGTATGGCACAATCGTATTAAAATTACACGCATCGTTCTAATCTCACGCACGCGTTAGCGGCTCGGAGAGTGAGTTACTGCTCTCACTGTTTGTGAATTAGGTTACGAGGCAGATATGAAGACTTTCAAAAAGGCAATTTTCAGCCACAGAAAAAGGTATAATTTACCACCAAAATACGCGTAGTTGTAACATTTATGCTTTATTTATGGTACACCAAAAAAATAAGATTAAACTAACCAAACAAATTCGTCAACAAATTAGGATTCGTTTAAAATACAATATTAAATCCAAACACAGGCCATGCCATAGCTTAAGGAGATAGCGATTTTTCACAGCGGGACTCGGGCTCGCTCAATCCACGTGGGATTTCTGTTGGACAAAGTGGTAGTCTTTCGGTGCCCCCTGTCAATATTATATCGCCACTGCTCTATATTGGAATTACAAAACGTTGAAATTGAAATGTTTCAGTTTTAATTATGCACAGCGTTACAATTTGATCAATAACATTTAAAAATGCTCTATTCACTCTTAACACGTACAGAAAACGTAAACTGCATAGCAAATTACGCGTTAATAGCAAAATTTTCCGGTAACAGTTTATATTATTCTATGTTCATGAACTAACCTAGATTTTAAAGTGCTGATGAACATGTGCCTTCCTTGTGACAGAATTTAAACTGTAACTAAACAACCAATACAGTCCTGCACCTGTAGCCAGTGTATCGAATAGTCCGAGGGTCAATTCCAGAGTCTGATATTGGCAACTGAATTAAATCGAAATTGTTCAAGCAATTTAAGCTCTTTACTAGGTATTACGAGTCAAAATGCAAGTCTGTCAAATATCAAGAAACTAACAAACCAGACGAATTATATCCATAGCTTTGTGCAACACCAAAAATAAAATAAAATTAATTTAATACAAAACGTTTCCTGGTACAGGCAGATAAAATGATAAATTCTGTGACATTAATGTAATTTAAATAGCAAAACTTAAAAAATAATTATATGTAACTGTTCCATAAACCACAAGAACCTGTTATATTTTAATGGAGAAAATGTATTAAATGTGGCTATAAACGAGACGAAGACGAGATATGAATGATGTAAAACAGTCAGACGCTTCGAAGTCTCAGCTTCAACACAATACGTCTCAGAACAAATAAATGCAACATTTTCTAAATTGCTACACTTGGAGTTAAGAAAACATGCAGCAGTCATAAGTTGTCAGCTATACAATTGAAAAAATAATCATGTAATGTCTTCTGATAAAAATATTTGCTTCACGAAATAAACATCAAATGTAAAGTAGGAACCGCATAAAATATGGAGGCTTACCGTTCAATGTTGTTGAACAGTCGACTCGTTCTTCCGGCTGCCGTATATGTTCAATTCAGCAAACGTATTTTTAATCACCACGTTCACAAAATTGTATTAATTTACTTATCTGTCTGATTTAAAAGTCTCAAGCTTCCACAAAAATTAAAAATAACTACGTATATTAAAGCACTACATTGTAATGTTACTGTCTGCTCACTGTGTTATGTTTCATTAACACTGTCATTTGACTTTCATCCCGAAAATAAAATGTCCGTTTCAAAGTTCACGATAACACTGTGTAAATAAACAGAGGGGTTGTCGAAAATGGAAAACAAATGCGTACTTCGAAAGTGCAATCGCAAAATAGCGCAACGCAGGTAGTTCTGATGAAGTCGGGCCAATCTGACTCCTGACTAACCTGAATCAACCGATACCAGGCCGACGTCTGCTTGTTGTGCGTCGCTATGTTCGCAATATGAAGTATATTGTTCGGCTTTCTCCGGAAACAAACCGACGAATAGGCCCGAGCTCTACTCACCATCTTCCGTATCAACCCCAGCGACTCCCTACCATTCCGTGTTCCATTCTCGTGAGGCGAAATCATCTGTTTCTTTCTGGTGTAAGGGGCACTGCAATCAGTTAAATGAGGACACTGTCGCTGCATTTCTCCGGTAAAATGCGTCAGCATAAAACGCCTCTCAAAATACGTACCAGAAGCTACGTCACTTGTAATAACTACACTAACGATTTTCCTGAAACTAGTATAATTTGCTACGTGACTGACTAGAGATGAATTGGGTTCGATTCCTGACAGGGGCAGGACTTTTTTCTTTGCCGCTAAGTCCAGATCGATTGCTGAAACAAATCAGTTTCTTCTTGAACGTATACCAGTAGGGGCTCTTACCGAGGGAAATAACGGCCGGAGCGTACAGCTAACCACCCACTGTAGAAGTTAAGAATTCTTTTAAATTTACCTCTGAGATCCCTTACGCATTAACAGTATGTTACCAATCCGTTATCCAGGCCTTTTCACCTCTTGTTGATAACACAACAGAAATTCTTTTTGTTAAGTAATAAGCAAATCATTTTAAAACAAGCCCTTCTCTACCGAGCAAATGAGCTGACAGATATATGAACAGTTCAGTACGCAATGAGTGTGACTTATTACAAAGAAATAGAAGGTTTTACTAATCCAGCCGTCTGTAATTAGATTTAAAGATACGATAAGTAAAAATGTGGTTTACTAAAATAAGCCCTATTGTTTATTACTTGACTTTTACTGGCATAAATTAGTGTAAAAACAAATCACACTCTACATTTCGAAAAGAATCAACCTGACTCATTGGTTTCTGAGCAGTAAAAATATGGACGATGTTTGTCAATGTTGGATACACGACGAACATAAATGTGTTGATTTTCCTGTTTGAATTTACCGGTTACGGCTACGTTTGTATTACAACGCCATTCGAGCTATTAACAAATAACAAGCACCAAGACGCACTAAAATATTTACGGTGATTTAATATATAAAAGAAATAAATTAATTACCTATGTTTTCTGTTACAATAAACTATGTTCAACTACAAACTGTATTTAAATAATAACTTTTTGGCTATTAATTAATTAGAAATTAATAGGCCTATAATCGTAGATATTTTTCACGGTGCATTCTAATACAAACAGAGATAAAATAATGTTGGTTTGTATTTCATATGTATAAACATGTGCGTATAACTCACTGCTTGCTGTAGTCATTCTTGAGAAGTTGACAGTTGCTTAGGTTGTCGAGACATTCCATACACCAGAAGGTCCACTACCCTGTTCACATCATTCCGCCACTGGGCATTATCCCGAGTGAGATTAATTTAGCCCACACCCTCACACTAATTATTTAAGATCCATTTCCCTGTTATTCTCTCAAGTGCTCGCTTCCCTACCCACATGCTGTATGAATTTCTCATCTCTCAAATATGTGCTACAAGTCCTGAAAATCTCATCCTTCTTACAGTAGTTGGGACGAATTTGTTTTTTCCACGTCCGTTAATACTAAAAAGGTATGGGTATCACAGGGGTTGGGAGGGGTAGCAGCCTAGGAAACATATACTGTCCATACTAAAAACATTATTTCCCAGCTGTAAAACTTTGCAGTTCGCTGTATCAGTTCCTATGTTGGTAATGTATTTGGTTTAAATTTGTTTTCCTTCTACCCCAAAGCTAGTGCAGTAGGCGCAAGGGGTTGGCCCGGCTGTTGTTCAACTGTTTACGTGTGGTTACTTTATAAACAGCTTTTTGAGGTTCTCCTTTTGATATTTTCTCAAATTATGGAAAATGGTTACGTTCAGAAATTCACCTACTTGGCTGATGCATTTTTGACGTAAATACGTCTATACGGAAGGGTCATTCGGCAAAAACAGCGTTAGTTACGAAGATGTGTAAGATCCAGCCCCGAGTCACAGCTTTGTCACATTTATGGAGGAAACGTTTGGCTTAATGTTGATGCCAAATCCTCAATGTAGTACTACTAGATCAAAATCTTGTATAGGTATGGTGTTTGCACGAAATGTTGATATTCTAAAGTGCACAAATTTTATAACATATTTCAGCTACCACAGATCTATCTTAAGCGTAAGTAATTCAAGTTAAATAAGCAATGTCTTAATCAAACTATTTACTCAATTGTAAAGCATGTATAACGGGAATATTTAGAATAAAGCTAATATATAAACTTCCTTTCATTGTATTTATTGCCTAAATATAATTTAAAAACAAAGACGTATTTACGTCACATTCTCCGGAACCGTGGTTCCACTGTCAATTTTTGTTTCGATTAGCTTAATAACTACAATCAAAGTCAAAACAGAAACCTCTGTAACGCAATCAAGAAAATCGAATTAGCATTTTTTAGGGCAGTGGTAACAATTTATATCGCCTGTCTCAATGGTTTTAAATCAAGTACTTAATCGACAAATTGTATTCATATAATTCTGTTTTCATCAGAATGAACCTTGAATGTATTCCTAGTAAACTTCATTGACCTAGTTAATGGGTATTTAATTTGTTTTCTTTGTGAATGGAAACAAATTATTAAATATTTTATAAAAGAGACAAAAGAGTGTATTTTTTCCCTGTCTGGAAAGCTAATGGACCCTGTCAAGAAGCTCTATTAAGTTATATTTCCTCGCAAACCTCCGCAACATCAACCCTGAAACTCGGTACGAAAAGCCGTTTCCACAAAACCCTACAAAAAATCTATGTTCGTCTACCCTGTTCTGAGCTCCGCTACCACAAATATGTCCTTCCACAATGTTCCTGTAACATCTCTGTTACTCTACATTTGCTCAGATTAATGTTCCATACAAATGCTTAACGTGCATCAACAAAAAAAACAGTAAAATGCTACATTTAGATGTGGCGTTAGAAGGTGAGTATTATATCAGCTGAGCAGTCACGTGAGTGCCAAAGTATTATCACTACTCAAGAGACGAGAGCCAAATAAATGAAAATGAGGAAAAGGTCATACTGTTTAACTTAAGTTTAAATACATTGGTTGCTAGCGCATATTTACCGCCTACTTTAACACGCAGTAACTGAATTTTGCAAACAGTGTATTTGTGATTTTGTATGATTCTTAAAAAAACTATTATTTATCTAAACAGCATTAACCAATTGATCTTTGTAAAAAAAATACGCGTTGTTTTCTCTGAATTATCAACAAGATTTTATATATTATTTAGGTAAACCTCGTACTTCGAAGAGTTGGTCTATAATTTTTGTTTGAATATAATCGTCAACACTTTTATGATAAATTTAAATATCCGCTTTTGTAGCTTATACTCAAAAATTTTTACAGATAAAATCTAATGTAACTCATATAATATCCAGGTGAGCGGAAATAACTAGAGGTCTTGTACACGACAGTAGAAAAGTCTAATACCTGAGAACAGCTAGGAATGAAAATAAAGCCTTTTTCTAGGATATATTACTGAGATACCACAAGCTAAAAAAGTATAGATATTTACAGGTACTGTTTCTTATATACACACACACAGAACTTGTTAATATATTAACACATAAACTACTTAATCTGTGCAAACAACGAGCAGCGGACAGCTTTTACTACTCTATATTCTATTCTATTAGACTTGCTACTACGTCCAGTTAATCTTGCAACTTCAATATAGTAACCTACCAGACGTTCCACTGCCTCGTATGACGTAATCATAAAGCTTGCCGTAGCCTAAATAGGAGCTTTAGGGCCGAATCGTTTTAAACAAAGACGTAAACAATGCGCTACAAAAACAAATTTATTTATGGATAATGTAATGGGTGGGTAATGCAGTTCGTATGAAGATGATAAAAGTCTGAAATATTGTGGTCAGAATTTATGTACAGAAGATATCAAATTAGTGGCCAATGTTAGATGCGGAATGAGAATTAAATTGAAGAATGTCTAGAAACACATCGGATTTAAAACAATATAAAAATAGTAAGCTTCTCTGGAGGGTGGTGTAACTATGCATCATAATGTACGTCCGATCTCTCGGTTATTGCATCGATTTTAAAGGTTGAACAGATCTAATTAATTGAGATTCCACACCAAAAATTCATCTTACTAAATCCATCAATCATTTTTTGCAACAGGCTACATTATTCAACCAAAATGGAACAAACGCCATCATATCTACGTCAAAAATTATGAATGGTGTACTATAAAAACTATAAATCTTCAACTAGTAATTACTTTTTTCTCTTTTGCTATGCTGGCGGTATCCCATGGCAGGCGTTGTCTGCCGGATACATTCGTCTGTCGGAGAAGGTAAGAGAACTCCTCTTTATACATATTTACATACCAACTCCAAAGAGCAGTCCTATAAGATGTACCATTTAAAATTTAAAACGCAGCCAAATAATCACGTGCTACGGCACAACAGTGAAATCAGAAGTAGATCCACCTCAATGTAACAGAGTCTCCCAATTTCCCCCGCTGCTCACGGCAGTTAAACAAAAGCCGTGCAGATGTAAACAAGGTAAATTCACGAGCAGAACGTGTGTTCGTTCTCGAACATAACTTAATATCTAAATCGTATGCAGTAGTTCGTAAATAATTTAGCAAAATATACCCATATATATCTTAATTTTACACATAAATTTACTGAATTATTTTGTATTTAAAAATAAATAATATTACATATGCGTCTTGAATCTGGTCTTACGATGCCATAGAAAACTTGTCTCACGCGAAGTAATGTTTCTGAGTTGTAAGTTAGAAAACAGAGTACAGTGTCCAGGGGTTAAGCAATTTTCTGATTCAGGTAGAAATTAAAGCAAAGCCTCAGCAGTTGCAACGAATGCAAACTCAGAGCCACTGCGTTACGGGCTTCGTCTGTTAGGGAGACGAGCAGACTACACACCTCGCACCTTATTCCATGTTAAATGCATTACTGAAATCCCCTCCTTTCTACACAGCTGTACAGTACGGTCCGTAAAACGCTTACTTCCTCTCTAATTGGATTATACATTTGCCGC